ACTACTACTACTACTACTACTCTGCATGTTACTACTCTTCCTGTTTATTCTTATTGATCGTTTGAATTCTTCTTACTTGTAGCATGTTCTCCAATCCAGCTTGTGGCTGACTTGTGGCTTCTGCCCGCATTGATGCACAGTTTCGGCGTGACATTGGCAAACCTAGAGGGCCACGAGCAAAAGAAACGTCTGAGTTTGAAAGTGCCAGTAGAGTTCAAGCAGCTCTCAGCAAAGCTCTCGGAATCTAGGGCTGCCATGGGCAGACTTGCACGAAGCATTGCTCTCTCTTGTCCCAAAGCGTTCTGCCCTATCCACCTTTAGATTTACAGACAAGCTGCACTCCGACCGCGTGGGCCCTTTGGCATGATCCACAAGACCTGTCAAATCAAAGTGGCGCCTTTCCGAAACTGTTTTCAACATTGGTCTCCGACTTGAAGGGTGCCTGCTACCCACGACAGTAGCACTGCTCCTAGCAGGCTGCTTGGTTTTGTGAACAATTACATCTTCCAGCCATGATGCCACAGGCCGCATCTTTCCACGAAGCCAAGACGACCTGTCATGATATGTAGAATTTGCCCAGTAGGTGACACGCCCACAAGGCCATGATCGTCCACATGGTGCGAACATCAAATCGAAGCAGCAGTTCCAGAAGTCTAAATTCGCCAAGCGCGCGTGACATACGTGTAGATGAGAGCCACGCTGAGTGAGCAAAGCCAACTTCTCGGCGAAGACAAAAGCTTGGGAATCTCGCGTTTCCTGGGCTTCTCAGTAACACGGAATATCTTGGGATGTCGTCGGTCAAGAACCCAGCATCTCATAGGCACATTCAGCTGACAGAAAAGGCAAGCCTGACTGGCCTTTTCTTGCCCGAGGCACACAACCGACCAAGTAGTAGGTATTTCGATGCCGGCCATACAGTGCCCTCCGATCATGACACCGCTCGTGCCATTGAACAGCGTGCAGCTCACAGCAATCCTCGGCGGTTCTACGAAACATCTACGAACCTACGAACTAGCCAATAGCTGTTTGACTTCGCCGTGTAGTGTTCTGGTTTCTTTGCACTTTACAACCTTTGGCATGTAAACATTACCATCTGCGTCTCACTGGCTGGCACTTCAGCCAAGCCTTATTGGGCAGTCTGTTGCGGGTGTAAGGTTTGTTCCCCGAGTTTGACTGTATCACAGAGTGGATACATACAGCACTAGTGCCTCAGTTGATCGGCAGTCAACACCCGTTAAAGGATAACGACGACAGGAAGGAGTCTTGCTTACTTGCCTTTTTGCCCTCTCGCATGGCTGAGGTCTATTCTGGCTTGCTTGGGGTATGGGGTCTGACCTCCTCGCCCGAAGGCCCACCCCCGCTGTCCGTAGTCGCCGTAGTACGAGGCTCGATCCCGAAATCTGTCACTCACTCCCTTGTTCTGTATTGCTGAGGTAATAAAGACCTGGGTTCCGAACTTTAGAGATGTTGGCTTGCTTTTGGGCCCTCGAATAACATCTCAACGACTTTGCCACAAATCTCGCGCGGTCCTTTCATAAGGATGTACCGAAGCTTTCGCAGCCACATTTTCTTTGGACATGTGCAAGACCCTTCTTGAACACAAGCAAACGGGGCAGCGGTTCTCTTCGTTCCCGCAATCGAGTGGGGAGGCGTCCTTGAACTTGCACTTTCTGGAGTCTCAGTTTCATGTTCAGCCTTACTTTCAGTGTGCTCCCTAGCAGGCCACGAGCTTCAGGCTCCTAGCGATCTGAAAAGCTTCTTTGCACTTCACTTCCGCTTCACACAGGGCCAGGGCCTTCCAGAGCGAAGCTGCTCGAGTGGGCAAGCCCCTCTCCCCGAGATTGAAGCACTTACTAAGTCGTACAGGTTTCAGTTTGGTCTGCAGTTGATTCCTTTGCACCTCTGCCAAAAGGTATCGTGCGAATTTTTCAAGAAATCTTCTGGATGAGGGAAGTAGGACATGCATCAAACCACCACGCCAGCTACCAAGCGTCGACCCTTAAAAGCTGGCTAAGTCTCCTACCTCTACACACGGCCAACAGAACAAGCCGTGTGTCTCACGAATCGAGAAACTGTACTCCGCAAGTTGCATGAAGCAGCACAAAACAAGCTCATGTACTCCCACTCCTTCTCTCCTCCTTCTGTGTGGTAATTAGGACACTTTCTCTCTTCGCCCCGCTTGCTCAATCGCCCGCTAATTACCTGAGGCTTCCCTGCAAGCTGCTGATATGAGCTTGCGCCATCCCAGCTTGCCGTCGGCTTCAGGCAGGGCTGCGTGTACAAGTTGCACCACCTTTGCATGTGTTCATTCTTCCATACAATCAATGAGACTCGATTAAAAGGGCATGCCCAGGCAGACCTTGTGTCGTTGAACCAGTCCACGGCCTGGCAGTCTGGATACCTCAGCAGCATCCGAAGCTGGGCAGGAGCCACTCTGGCAACGTAAAAGGCTGTGTCGTTCGTTCTGACGCAATAGAGTTCAATAGAGGGTGCTACGAGATGAAGGCCCAGTAAGCCCTGCCAGGAGCGTGCAGTTTACCAGGATCGAAAAACGCAAGATGCCCTACATCTCTCTACATACAAGGCCCAGCCACGAACTGCAAAGATCCTCGCAAGCTGCGAGGCCACCTTCCATTGGAGCTTCCTGACGAAAGGCGTCAGCGCTTCGCGGCAGATCGTCGCAGTTCTCGCACGCCTCGGAAACTTCTGCAGCTTGGAAGTTCTGGCATGTCGAGGCCGGAAAGAACATGCAACTACCATCTGGTGCATGCCATGTTCAATAGACATCTACGATGACGTCCTACCGAACAGTGCTTTTGTGCAAAACCCTGAATGCGAACAAGCTAATATGCTGCAAAGTGGCGGCATGCTGACTAATCGGGATCCACATCGGCTTGCTAAGAGGACCTGCAAGTGCACCGGCTCTACTCGTTTCCAAGGCTTGACCATTCCGGACGATCAGTAACAGGTCCGTCCTCCGCAGACGAATCTGATGAAATTTTGCGAATGCCGGCTTATGCAGGAAGGCCCCCTATCCCGTCCCGATACAGTTTGTCAGCAGCATGATCTGCGGACACCACCTGATAAGAAAAAGGCGTTGACGACGACAACCAGGACCTGCAGTGTTCAGCGTATTCGGCTGACTGAACCGGATCTTGACAGGAAATGCTGGTGACGGCTGGTGCTTACCAGGACCTCGAGTGCCGGCACGAACTTGCATCGACATAGTGAAATGTAATAACTGAAGATATTGCATCTGACCGAGGTACCATACACTTGCAGCACCACGAGCAGCAAAGCCGTGCGCAGCAAAGCTGCAGGCAGTGGTGACGGGCGCCTCAGCTGAGTTTGTGCTAGCAGTGGCACTTCCGTTACGTACACAGTATACATGTTGATCCAAGCAACGCCGCCTGATGCTCTCCTGCAGACAAGAGAGCAGCTCCCTTTGCTGAGGCCTTCTTCGCGATTGCTACTTTACAAGTTCCTCCGTGCTTTTGTGTCGGTCCTCGTCCACATCCGGATCTTCCTGGGGAGCCGGCACTGCCTGGCTGAAGCCAGCATACGCCGGCTCGATGATTAGTAGTAAGTAGTGACTGCACGTTCGCTGGTGGCCTCCTCGTCTGCAGGAGCCGGACACTGCGTGCTGGCATGGGCGAATTCCCGGTGGACTGCGGCAAGTCACCATGTGTGCGGATGCTACGCAAGTGCATAGTAACCTGTAGCTGACACTAGCATAGATTAAAGCCGTGTCCATACAAGCGTGAAGCGAAGCATTAACATGGTCTGGCTTTGCATGCAAGTGTATCGATCTCCGGCAAGTTGGCATCAAGCGTGAAGTTCCTTGCAGAGCGTACGCTCACCGGCCACCGTCCTGGCCTCGCATCGGGGAGTTGCCGCTGAGTAAAGACCATGCCCTCAGCTTTCTCGGCCACGAGCCGGGACCCAAATGTGAATAATTTGGCGATCCGGGAAATCTGCGGGTTGCAGTCTTGGGAAACCAAGGCAGCAGCTCCGATTCGTCCGAGGAGGAGGCCAACAGCGGCTGCCTGACATCTGTACATGTTCGAATGGCTCTGCCTGCACATGCAAATCGCTTCGGTGCGCCTAAGCGCCTGATCTGGCGGCAGCTCTGTGGCAACCTCTGGCAGGCTGTGGTCCCTCGCCAGACCTGCCGAGCGAGAGTACGAGCGTCGAACTCTAAGGCAAGCCGTCGTGTGCTGGTTGGTGCATGCCCAAGAAAACTCCGATAGCTACCTGTACGAGAATCTGAAGGCCGTGGTGGCCTTTGTGCGGATCAATGGAGCCACAATCCATATCTCGGGGGTAGCTACTGCATCTTGGCTTAGAATTTAGAAGTCATCCTTTCCTTTGGTGGCTTCATGTCTTTTTGCCTAAGGTTCCTACTTGGTGAACAAACAGTTCTGTACCTGCTTTTGAGCCAGCCATGTGCTGCTGCAGATTGAACCGAATGCCACGGCGATTACACCGCACCGCATGTATGAACGGCCAGCAGGGGTTTCAAAGAAGCAGCGAAAACATCAACGCACCAGAGATGAGGGTAGTGCGACAGCGTTGGGTGCTGAGAGACCTAGAGGCAAATCCGACCTGAGAACTCGAACAGAACACATGACAGGCACATGCAAGTATGCATGTGCATGCCAGCACCCGAACGTGCATACATACCTGCTCCGGGTGAAGCAACGTCGCCTTTTGTTGATCTTTCCCTGTCGGAAGCCTATGCCGATTCAGCTTCGATCACAGCCGCCCAGACAAAGGGAGGCTTCAGCATGTCGGCGGCCAGCTCGCCAGGGTAGGGGTCATGGAGCCTCGTCTTGGACGGCTTTAGAGCTAGCTAGTGTCCAAACTATGAAACCAAACTTGTGAAGACATGGCGGTTGAAAACATGCGGAAATTGGTGCTTGAATCTGATACAGAACACCAGAAAACTATCACCTCCTTCATGCAGCACAGCCACAAATCGAACCTGATAGAAAATTGCAAGGCCACGTACTGACACACGAGGGGCGAAATCAGTTGGCCAAGGCACCCCGTGCCGCAGGCCCGCGCCACGACCACATGGCCATGATCGCCACGCGGGGACGTCCCGCGCAGTACGCAGAGCTTCCCCACACCTCGGCACCGTGCAAATGCGCCGACCTCGAGGCTCCCAACGTCGATTTCTGAGTCTGAGAGATCCACAAGTTACAGCATCTCTCGGAAGTCGCCCATCTTCCTTCGGACAAGAGACGAGATCTTTCCCGACGCCCGTCTTGTCCCTCTGCAACATGAACCTGCTCTCTCCTCGACTCTACGTTTCAATATGCCGAGTCCAGCGAAATCTTTCGCCAGGTCATTCGCTGTGCCGCCAGCCAAGTCTGGCAGGCCTTGTCCTGGCTGAGCTGCTGAGGGCTACAGGGTCAGCCAGATAGGAGCCACAAGACTTCTTAGAGACCCAGACGGCAACAATGTGGCCAAGGCTCATAGCCAGCTGGATCTTCGAGAAAGTTTGGAACCTCGTCGAGAGGCCGGCGCACCTCAACTGGGGGCGCTGGAGGCAGAAATGATCTGTTTGTTGCATACTGCAGCGCTGCATAACGATAGCCATGTCACTATGGATGCGACAGCTGCCTGCAGAGCGTTGCCTGCCCCGGCTGTGAAGATAGTTTGCTGCACCTAAGACGGCACAAAAGAGCACGGTAGGGAACTGTCGATACGTTCCAACCTGTTCAACTTGCAGGAGGCCCAGGCGCTTCGTCATAGTCCTTCTCCGAAGCCATACCAGGCTTCACTAGTCGGAACTGAAACCGTCTTGGACTGTTCGCACAGGACCATGCTTGCTGTTCCTTTCTGCCTCTGGGATCAGTCTATGAGTGTTGCTGCCTCCAAGCGTTCGCAGTTGCTTTGCATTCTGAATTCTGAAATTCGACGCTTTGCCATGCGTGGGTTGTCGCTCATTTGTGGCTGGGCACTGTCCACACACATGCGATCCAACATGCAGCTTACTGCAGAGCTGCAATTCACAACTTTCGCGCGCACGTTACTTGATGAAGCAACATAGCTATGTGCACCTGCTCTTTCAAAGCCGCACAAGTTGGCAGTGAAAAAACAACCTAGATAATAAAAATCCTGAGACTACAGCTAGGACCAGCTACGGCGGCCTCATGTTTGGCTGCTCTGCCCTGCTCTAAGTTGGACAGGGCAGCCATCCCCGCCGCGCGAAGCGTCGCCCCAAGTCACAACTGTGCCGTCTGTTCGTGCTGCCGCGAAAGCTGCAGCGGTAGCGTAGATAAACTCCTGCCAAGCACTTCGAAACGTCTGAAGACTGCACAAGACAGTGCGTCCGAAGTGTATCACTATCATGCACCAGGCTCCACGTTGATGAGCTGATGCTGTACATAGCTGCTGTCACCTTGGGCTGTGGGCTGACAATCGACAGTTGTGGCCTCCACCTTTCGCATCCCAAGTCAAGCCACCGCCACGCAAGGCTTGGCCCCACGTTACCACGGTACCATCCCGTCCTAAGTCGGTCGGATTGGTTTCCGTAATCCTGGCTTCCCCTGACCTGCAGCGGATTTCGACAGCTGTCTACTTTGACCCAGGTTCTAACGGCTGCGAAGGCATAGGCGTTAGCGCACACCTGCTGATGGAGACACAGCTGTCTGCTTCTGGAAAAGCGTGTGCACAGGCGATGACATGTCAGCAAGTCCCCCAAGACAAAAATCTAAATCCTGCCACATCCGAAAGCTTGTAATCCTTCTGTACTTGAACACATGTTCCAAGCTTTCCAGACAGGGCCTGCTCGACATCTCTCAGCTGTTCTTGCACCATGCTGCTGTCTCCACCCTTTTGCGACTCTCCCCACGTCACAACCCGGCCATCCCTTCCTCAGCTGACAAGTTTTGCAAACTTTGAGGAATGCAGCCAGAGGTCTTGATCTTCAACCGTCAGCTCCTTCCCCTCATCTGCTGCGAGTCTCCGGGGACTCTGGTAGACCTGTTCATTTACATGTGGAAACTGCATCACGAGCTCATGTGGATGAGGCGCATAAAGAGGTCTTGGGCTAGCGTTGATAAATAAGACGCGTTGAGGATGCCAACATTCGGATTGCAAGCGCGCGGAGGCGACTACTCTTGAGATATTCTGCCTCCACGTGACAGAAGATAGAGATAACAGCTAATGAGATCTAATGAGCTAATATGGGGGCCTATTTGTAATTTACCACTACTATTTTGGGGGTTCCTTATTATCCCTATAGTATGATACACCCCCAAACCTTGTTCCAATTTTTTCGGCCACTACATTAGCTGCTAGCTCCGTGCAGGGGCAGGTGCGGAGAGCTGCCCAAGCAAAGGAGTACACTTCGATGGTCAGCACATCGATCAGCTGGTGCTGTACATCCGCACTGTTGCCACCCATATCTGGGTGGCCCCATGTGACAACCTCTGGAAACAGAAGAAGCAGGGTGGCATGCCGCAGAGCCATGCATGCACACAGGAACACTCCTCTCCGAGATACTTAACCATGCAAACCACACTAACTAACGAGAACTAACGCTTGCAGAGCCACTGAGCCGTCATCTGTGATCGCTGCGAATGCGAGCGCGCGACGTGAGCTGTACACTCGCTTGACCTCGCACTGGGGCGAAAAGGAGCATTCCGCTGAAGATGAGGTTACGGACCTGGTGCTGTTGAGCCGTGCGCGGGGGGCATACTGCAAACTGAGCTGCGGAAGTCAGCGATTGGCGCACTGAGGAGCAGTCGCCTCCCGCATCCCGCTGCCAACTTCCAGCAAAACTCTTCAAAGTTTTGTCGGACATGCCTTCATGCATAAAGCACTCGCACTCAGCCTCCAAAGGCCGGATCTCCCCAGGTCACGACGCTGCCATCTTGGAGCCGCGCTGCAAAGGCGCTTGCGTTGGAGGAGACGTCCTCCCGAGTGCAAGAATCTACAGGCTGCGCTGCCTTACTGGCCATCGGTAAGGCCCCGGCCCCGGCCTGAGCCGGAAGCAGGTTTGCCATGGAAGCCGCCACGGAACTTACGTCGCCCCCTCGATCTGGGCAGCCCCAGGCGAGGAGCCGGCCATCCGCCGTCTCCGCTGCAAAGGCAAACTGGTTGGCGTGCAAACGCGTCACCACACTGCGCCTGACAGCTGCGTGCCCATCTCTCCACTACAGCTAAAGACAAAGAGTTCCTACTTCTCCAACCCCTGACTTTCCACCATCCTCATTCTTTTCATTCTTTCAATATGCAGCAAAGGAGCTCCAGATCGTTCTGTCTTGCACTGCTGTCCCCACCATGCTCAGGGTGGCCCCATGCAATCACACGCCTGGGCTCTCAAATTCCAAGGGTGCGGGCCAAGTCTTCCCGAATGGCGGTCTATGAAGCGTGAGCCTGCGTCGCACTGGGGCCTGGGGTGCGAACCCATCATTCCGAAGAGCCGCAAATGCGTGCGAGTTGGCGCAAATCTGTTTGACCTGATTCTCTACTTCTCGGCATGAAAATGTCAACCGGTCGATCGGCAACGTAACATCTGGTGGCGCTGCAAGGAGTAACATGAAACAAGCCACCCCAACCAGCTGTTCGCGCACCGCGCTCGAGTCACCACCCATCTGTGGATGACCCCAGGTGATGACAGTACCATCGTTCCGCACGGCTGCGAAGGCATGCCTTGTATGAGAGCCCTTCATTGAAAGACTTACGAAGAGCGGCCAGATTCTTCGAATCAAGGTCTCAAATTAATTAGAGGAAGTGCAGTTGAGTACGTAGGCTGTGCAGCAATCAAGGGACGCTGAGACTTCCTTTGTCCAATGGGCATGCCGGGGCAGAACTGTTTGGGTTGATTCTCCGCTCCAACTTGCTAAAACCTGTCCAAGAAGAGCTGCGCAGAAGCACAAAGGAAGTCGACACTGTGGAGGTCTCCCTTCACGAAGCTGCTGTCGCCTAGCACACAAAGCAACACAGCAAGGAACGCTTCCACGGGCATTGATTAAGCGATGTAATGCAACGCTGCAAAGCCGTTTCTGTTGCTTCTGCCGAGGGCTCCTCCCTCCATCGTCCGGCTGTTCGAGAGAGAGAGCCTACCTCGAGAAGCACGGCAAGCGTGTGTTGCGCGTACAGTAAGCTGTCGCATAGGCCCTGTCAGCAGGGCTACGACGACGACGGGACTTCTTTTGTGAGATCCACTTCTGCTTTCATGTAAAAGCCGCGTTTGTCATCCGGTACGATGCATACGTGCCCGACGCCCTGCTTCAGCCGGTGGCATCCGTTCTCCTGTGGCTGGTAGGTCTTGGGATCTTGGACCATGTAGTAGGAGTTGCCTGTCTCGTCATACTTAACGTGCATCCAGTCCGACGAGATCTTCCCGTTGTTGTACTTCCAAACCGTCTCCGCCCTTTCCAGGCCGGTGCCACCGAAGTGCACCCCTGTCCCTGATACACCCGTGATTGTGGTCTGGCCTACGCCGAGGTCTCCTCTGAGGTCCTCAAAGAGCCCTCCCAACGCTGCCTCCCCGGATTTGTGGCCGCTGCTGATATCGTTGGCCGTGTTCACAACGGTGGCTCCGGCCGATCCCTTTGCTGATCCGTGCGCGGATCCTGCTGATCCCGAGGCGAATCCGACCACGTTGCTGACCAGCATCGTGGCGATTTTCGTCTCGAGGTACTCCACGTTGCGATTGTAGGCCATAGTTGGGTCCGGAGGACGCACTGAACCGTCAGCAGATGAAGCTGGGCACTTGTCGGCAGATGCCCTGTCGCCACTATTGTCGTGCCCGACGAGCACTTCGCCGATAGTGCCCGTGCAGAAGTATTTACTCGTCCAGCAGCACATCCCGCCGTGAAACCAGAAAGGACGGTCGGGTCGAATCTGTTTGAAGGCATCGCAATGATGCTTCTGTATCGGAATGAGGGTAGAGTCAATGGAACTCTTCTCCACCTGCGACTTGCAGCAGCATACTGGGTCACCCAACGCTTCTTCGCCTGCGAGTGCCGAATCCAGAGCAGGTCGCACGCCCGCCACGGGAACTCCAAACACGACGATGGTGTACCAGTGGCAGGCAAGCCTTGCAACTTGCATCACTCACATGAGACGGCAGCTGCTTGTGGATTTTACAGAGATGATGGATTTCAAGTCTAGCAAGAGGCTTGATGCTCACGGCTTCCGGTGCAGGCCGGCCGTCGACAACATTCTGACGCGGTAAGACTGCTCTCTAATCTCCAGCACTCATAGCTGGCTACCACTGCCCGAACTTCGCAGCGAACGCTGCACTTCTTCGCCTCCCCGGCCAGCATTGCCCCAAGTGATGACAGAGCCGTCTCTTCGAAGAGCTGCGAACCTAGCATCGGCTCAAAGCCACACATGACTCGCAGCACCGCCCCCTGCGGGCAGACATTGAACAACTAACAAAGCACTGTACAAACGGAGCACATTGAAATCGTGCGCTTGCAGGCCAAGGGCGCGAAAGAGTGCGTGCTGAGCTGCAGGACGCCTACGAGAGAGTCCTGGACTGCCGAGCCTTCGAATGTCTTCCAGGCGATCAAACTTACCATTCCGCAGGTTGCGTGGGCATGCCATGATACTGTCACTAGCAGGTCTGAAGTCTGAAGAGCCATGCTGCAGTCGCCCCCTCGCTGGGGGTGGCCCCAGGCAAGTGCTTCTCCATGCTCGGAGACCACAGCAAAGGCAGCGCAGCCAGCATGAAGCCGCGGCACACGGCTCAGTAGCATGGTCACCTGATTCGTGGCAGGAGTAGAGCCAAAGCGGTTCAGAAGCCACTTGCTGCCGAAGCCACAGCATCACCATCCCGCAGGGACCTGAGTGCTTAGAGGAATTCCCCTTCCATCAGGCGTATGCCGTTCCCTGGACACAGAAGACTCTGCTTTCGCTGGGCAAGCAGCTCTTGCACTTTGCTGTGGGGCGCAAGGACCTTGCCCTCCGGAGTCACTAAGCCCTGCAGCACGGCTGAACCCACCACGGAGGCCAGAGGCAAGAAGGCTCCCCAGAGACCGTATGCGCGCCGTGGAAACTTCGGGCCCTCCCCTGCGCCTGAAGGCGTGCTCCGAGAGCTGCCGCTGCTTGCAGCTGCAGGACCCAAACTGCATCCTGCGGATCAACCTGCCAGGGACACTCCGGAAGGTGGCAAGCATGCTTCGTCTGCACGAACTGAATGCGACCTTCGGCCGCTGCTCCGAACCTCCACGTCCCGCTGCGCGCCGCTCAGCAAACCCACGGACACTCGAATTGTCATGGCAGCGTCATGGCACACCTATCAAGATGCGCTGCAAAGCCCTGGGCCGATCCTTTACCGAGAGTTCTTAAACCTTGACGAAGAGGGGTCCGTCGTCCCTGTTGGCCCTACCATGCCATAGTGCTGTCATGCAAAGGCTCGCTATGCGTAGAACTTCAGCGGCGTAAATGCCACTGACACACTGCTCCATGAATGGTGCTCCGGCACCTGCTGTCTATGTGGCACATCCGGCAGTACAAGCTCGGGCCAGTCTGCGGCATTCCGAAAACGAAAAGTGGTGCCTCGATGCTCCATGCTGCTTCAGCTCCTGATGGTAGAAGCGGCTTGAAGTGTCCAGGGTCTTTCGGCCAACGACTGACAGAGCTCAACTGGCGGCTGTAGCGAGGCATCGCTTTCGATGCTTCTGCTTGTTTAAGAGCAAGCGTGAGCCAACAAAGCCTGGGCAGCAGACATCCTCTCAGGGCTGCTATTCTGACCTGGTTGCGTGAAAATGCGTGAAAGACCACCAGACTCCGGATCAGCACTCTCCTTTCAAGCGCGACGTAGTCGACATGTCAACCGGCTTGCCTGGGTCGCACACTTGCAGCCCAACTGGGGGTTGTTTCGTGTCTTGGAGTGCTTTTGATCGCTCAAGAATCTGTCCTCTGTCCTGACTTGAATCAGACAAAAACTTAAGAAGTCAGCATGACATTCCATGTGATGCCTGAAACTCAAAGCCTCCTAAATCTGATGCTCGAGGGATCTTGAGGGCCAGACACACACGTGCGCAGCACCCACTCTCGGAGGCGAAGGCGCGTAAGGTGGGACAAATCTCTGTGAAGTGGTCCTGTGCTTCTCAGCTTGGGGATAATCATCGGCCTATCGCATTGGTGTGTCTGGTATGCATACGCAGCAAGAAGCAGTTCAATTCAATCAGGCCGCCCCCAATCAGCTGTTCACGCAGTTCGATTGGGAGGCATTCATGGAAAGATGTACAAAGAGCGGCAATGCATTCCACTGTCCCGGCAGCCATTGTACCTCAGGTACGCAATTGATGGCAAGGTGCTTCGGATGGAGGTCTATAGGCCTAGCTCCTGGCTTGCCGGAGCTAAATTCTGTAAGAAGTCCTGAGTCGAAACTGATCTCAGTCTTGAGCGGCATGTCTTGGTCCATGTTGCATGCCATGATATGCCATGCATGCCAAGGCTGAAGAGATCCGAAGAGCTTCGCCAGAATGGTGGCAAGTGAAGGGATTCCCCACATGAGGGCTGCAGGTACTTTCTGGTGTCCTCACTCCCTGGCTTCAACTTGCTTTTTACTTTTTACATCTGGACTACTGCGTTGCCAGAATGTCGGAAGCTCGAACCGAGCAGCGCTGCTGGCAACGCTCCAACCTAACTGGCTAAACATGCTAAAATCAATCAATCCAAATAATCCAAGCATAGCTGCACAGAGGCAAAGGTCGCCGACACTGTCGAGGCCTCCTTCACGAAGCAGCTGTCACCTCCGGTTTTTGCGAAAGCAGTAGGCATAAACGCTTCCACCAGGCATACTGCAATGTGTTGCAATGCTGCACTGCGACATCAGTCTTTCTTTCTCAAGGCACTGAACTTTTCGGTTTTCCAGTCCTCCAAGAGAAGAGAACCCACCCGGAGCAGCCCAGCAACTGTGTGTTGTCTAGACCCTCTCAGCATGGTTGCGACGGAACTTCTTGTGCAAGATCCACCTCTGCTTTCATGTGGAAGCCGCGTCCGTCCGCATCTGGTACGATGCACACTTTCCCGAAGCGGGGCTCCTTGAGCCGGGCACATCTTCCACCGTCCTGTGGCTGGTAGGTCTTGGGATCTTGGACCATGTAGTAGGAGTTGCCTGACTCGTCATACTGAACATGCACCCAGTCTAACTTGATCTTCCCCCTGTTATAGAGCTGAACCATCTTCGCCCTTTCCAGGCCGGTGCCACCGAAGCGCACCCCCGGGACTCCGCCCTTGAACTTTTTTAAGCTCTTGCCCACGTTGAGGTCGGCATTAAGGTCCGCGAAGGCCCCTCCCGCTGCGGCTTCCCCTCCTCTCATGCAGCCGGTCATGTCATCCACCGTCTTCGAAATGGAGCCGCTGGGTGATCCATTTGCTGTTCCGCCTTGTGCGGATCCCGCTCCTACGGCGAATCCAACTACGTTTGAGACCAGCATCGTGGCGATTTTCGTCTCGAGGTACTCCATGTTGCGATTCCAGGCCATGGTTGGGTCCACGGGATCCACCTTACCGTTCGGGCGATCAGCTATTGGACACATGTCTTCTGAAACCCTGTCGCCACTGTTGTCGTGCCCGACGATAAGGTTGCCTAAGGTACTCGTGCAGAAGTATTCGCTTGTCCAGCAGCACTTCCCCCCATGGAACCAGAAAGGTCGGTCGGGTCGGATTTGCTTGAACATTTGGCAATGATGTAGCTGGATCGGACTCCCGTCCACCGTCGCCCTGCAGCAACATGCATCGCCCATGAGAGCTGCTTGACCGTCAAATGTCGAGTCCAAGGAAGGTCGTACAGCCCAAACTGGCACTCCAAACATGACTATGGCGTAGCAGGCAAGCCTTGCAAAATGCATTTGCGGGCCTGTGACACGCATCACGCCAATGGATTTTACGGAGGTGCTGAAAGTCAATCTACGAAGCTTGATGCGCGCGGCTTGCGGTCAACACGCTACGACAGCAGCTCAGCTCTGCTGTATCTACACGGAATAGCCAACATCTGACAGTGCAACCCCGAACGCTGCACTTCTTCGCCTCCCCTGCCGGCATTGCCCCAAGTGATGACAGAGCCGTCTCTTCGAAGAGCTGCGAACCTAGCATCGGCTCAAAGCCACACATGACTCGCAGCACCGCCCCCTGCGGGCAGACATTGAACAACTAACAAAGCACTGTACAGACGGAGCACATTGAAAGCGTGCGCTTGCAGGCCAAGGGCGCGAAAGAGTGCGTGCTGAGCTGCAGGACGCCTACGAGAGAGTCCTGGACAGCCGAGCTTTCGGATACGTGTATCTTCGAGCCTGAGGAAATGCAAATACGTCGAACTTACCATCGCGCCGACCAAGTAATCATGGCATGATCCCCCCCTTGCGCCTGCACACGTGCTCCGACAGCTTACCCTGCTTGAAGCCACAGGACCCTCACTCCATCCTGTGGATCAACCTGCCAGGGACATTCTGGAAGATGGCAAGCATGCTGTATCAGCGCTGGCTGGAACCATCCCGCTCCGGACCTCCACGTCCTGCTGCTCGCCACTGAGCAGAACCTCGGACACGCAAATCGTCATTGCAGGTCCCATGCCATGCTGAACATAGAACTTCAGCGGTGCAAATGATACTGAGACATTACCGAGTCAGCGGCACATCTGCCCCTACATGCAGCTGTCTGTGTTGCGCATCCGGCAGTACAAGCTCGGGCCAGTCAGCGGCATCCCGAAAACGAAAAGTGGTGCTTCGATGCTCCATGCTGCTCCAGCTCCTGATGGTAGAAGCGGCTTGACTTGTCCGTGGTCTTTCGGCCAACGACTGACAGAGCTCAACTAGCGAGGCATCGCTTTCGATGCTTCTGCTTGTTTAAGAGCAGCAGACATCCCCTCAGTGCTGCTGGGCCGGGCATTCTGACCTGGTTGCGTGAAGGATCAGCCACGTGATGTGACATGCCAACCAGCTTGCTGGGCCACACATGAAAGGAGCATCACTTACAGCCCTCATGAGGAATTTTGTTGCAATGTTCAAGCATCTGTGCTCCATCCTCATTTCAAGGTAGGGAGTCAGCAGCAGAAAACTGCCCATGAGAACGGGCATGCGTCAAAATTACGGCTGAGAGTTGGCAGCGTGACGTCTGAATCTGACACTTCTAGAGCCAATGCTTGATGGCTTCTGGGCCTTTCCAAGCAGACAGCTCACCTAATCCGACAAGCTCTGTATGAATTTGTAGCGGCACGCACAGACACAAACACACACACACACACACAACCCTGAACATGGAGTGGGTGACAGAGCACTCGGAACGGCAGCACAGACTGTCGGATCGAGGGAGGAAGGATCTACCAGCTAACAATATAAAACAACTGTCAGGGCTGCTCCCTTCGGGAGCATGACCCCCAGGAGTCGTGTAATGTACAGTGCAATATCACATGTCTCATCCCTTATGCCAGCCCCGAGGCGTAACACAAAGCCTCGGTGCAAATAAGTCGCAAAAGCACAGCGACAAGTGCGGCGCGCAACACGTGCGATGCAACTCGTAGACAGGACATACTTGCAAGTTATCAACTCAGTCATTTGTGCTGTAGAATTACGGGGTGGGTGGGTAGCGAAGCCAAGTGCAAATTGCAGACATCCGGACGGCGTCAGGAAGCGCCCAGCTTTCCAGGCTCACTCTTCTCCCGCCGGAGGCTCGGTAAGCTGGGCAAACCAGGTCGATCCTCGGTGGCCGGTCTATACGAGAGCTTCCGAAACATATATGAGCTTTGCAAAGACGGCCCTTGATGTTCATGAAGCTTCCTAAACTTACTAGAGCTGCCCTTCTCCCTCAGCGACGTTTTGGGGAGAGACGCATGGGACAAGAGGGGTGCAACAACTGCCCCTCTCCATCTACCGGCCGGAGGCGAACTTGCAGCCTCCGACCTGGCCTGGCCTTCCCTAGCTGAAACCCCCCCAGAGCGGAATGGATTGCTCACAATTCCCCTCGTTCCTTCCTTGCTTCCTGGGAGGCTTGTGGCACGAGTCTTGCTCGTTCGGTGTGAGAAAGCTGCTCAGCTACTGCTTCTGCCCTGCAAACCCACCCTAACCCTTAACCCGCCCGGAGCAGCCTTGGTTTCTCAGGGCTGCGACGTCTGTAGAAAATGCTTTTGTTCACCCCTCTCAGCCCCTGCTCAACCAACACTTTTCATCAATCAGTCTCCAAGCGAAGGAGGGCCTCTTTGGTTCTAAGGCCCTTTGGCCGCTTCAGCTCATCTACTAAGCCTGCCGACGACAGATGCACACCTCCCCTGGCACAACTTCTGCAGTCCAGTGTTGGCGATCTGCTTCTGGAGATCCTACAAGCAAGAGTCCCACTGCCGTAGGGCCATCAAGAGACTTGGTGCCCTCTGTGCCCGACAGGTCAACGTACTCCAGGGATTTCGGAGGTGGCACATCCAGCCCTCGCAGGCCCAAGAGGTTCCCGCTCAGGTTGGCACGGCGCAGCTTCGGTAGCACGAAGACCTCCGCTGCATCTCCCCGGATCTGGTTCTTGGACAGCGAGATGTCCTCCAGACTGATGAGTCCCAGGACGGCCCCAAACTCACGCAAATGGTTGTCATCCATCTTCAGGACCCGGACGCCAAATGCGAAAGTGGCGATCGCTGGAGCCAGGTGGCGCATGGACAGGCTGCTCAAGTTCAAAGGGTTTCTGTAGGCCTCCGGGCAGTCAAGCCAGGCCTGCATCGTCTGCCGAGTATGGGCTGCAGCCCCGGCGTCGGAGTAAAAGTTCTTCCGCAGGGGATCGAGCGTGCTTGCGTGTGCCGCGCTCTCTGCAAGAGCGCTTTGAGTAGATTTCTGCTGCTCTGCAGTGCAGCCGGATACAAGCCGATCCTGCAGACGACTTTGTGCCAGCAGCGCCCACCTGCAGTCAGGCTCGATCTCCAGTAGCTCCTTTATCCTCTCGAGCTCCGTCTCAAAGACCTCTTTCTTCCGCTCCTCCAACCTTTCTCCCAAAAAGGCATCCAAGACTGAGAGACTGGAGGCAGCCGCAGAAAGGTCAATCATCGGACCCTGGAATTCAACCTGCAGAGTCGACAGAGGGGATGCCTTGCCGTCCGGAAGGCTTCCGAAAACCTCGATGTCGACTGCGATGCGAACCTCCATTGGGCTGCAGCACGGCACGGTGCCACCTGTCGCTTGAAATTGCCAACCGAGCGCACAATTGCGCCGGCGTCTCGCAGATGAACGAGTCCGCTGCACAGCAGACTTGCGTGATGGGATAGTGGGCTCTAGATGCCCGTCCAGCTTCTGATCACCTTGCGACATTGAGACATTAGATGCACAAACAGGCTTCGAGAAGAACACAAAGACCTCACCATCCATGAGCACACAGTGTGTTATCCTGGGCATTTCTGTGCCACGTGCCAACGTGGTCAGCCAGTTGTGATAAAGCCACACAGATTGGTCGTTTGGCTCAGTGAAGATTCCCTCTTGGACCCACTCCAGCTCCTGATTGATGTCTATCTCCATTTGTGGCTCCTGACACCGGCGCAGAAAGCGTGAAACTGCAGCTGTATAGATGGGGAAAAACAAAACACCATGCCGCGCCTCTGTACCAGCACGCTGTTGCAGCAGGGTGCGCAAATGCCACGCTGAGTAATTGGAGAAGTTCCGATTGATGAGGTCCGTGCTGAGCTGGAGATCAATGGAGCCCAAGTCAATTGGCTGCGGTTGGTCCTTTTGCCAGGACCGCATCAGACCCATCACGTGCATGCGGTGGTTCCAACAATGGAAATTTCGCTCGTCCACATCCAGGAGCCTCCCGCACAACTCCAGCTCAGTGTCGAGCAGAACTTTGACGCTGTCCTTGGGCTCAGTAGACATGTCGTCACTGCGGCTTCACACGCGCTTCAGGAAAGAGGCTTTGCTGAACCCAGCTGCTTTGTTTTCAGCCAAAACCTACCCACGTGAGTGAATGCATAAGAGTGTCAGGATCTGCCTTGAGCTCTTGGAACAAGTGTTCGATGACCCACTTCCGGTGGAACCAGATGGAGTAGACCTTCTGCGATTTCCGCAGCGCCTGCAGCGAAGCCCACAGCTGTTTAAGGAAGAAGGGATGGTATAACTCCGCCTTCTACTTTGCAAGATCGTGAAAAGTGGATGGTCTCACTGCCCCGCAGCTTCTGGAAAATCTTGGTCCACTGTGCCTACAGCTCAGAACCTATTTGCTATGAACGTGAACTGCGGATGAACTGAGGATGCATGAAGATACGGCCTTCTCCAAGAGCTTCATCTCCACTTCAAGAAGCTCCCGAAGAGGCTTGCTGATCTTGCCGCTGGTGAGTAGCTCACGTCTGTAACCCCAAAGAGTTGGGAACTCCGGGTGGAACTGAAGGGCCTTGGACGTCATGTCCAAGGCTTCTTCGCTGTAAGCTTTGCTCTGCCTCATCTCCAAGAGATTTCCAAAGAGGCCCCGAGCCTTTCGCACTTGCTCGCGCTGCTTCTCCTTCTCCTCTGGGCTGGGCTCCACGACATCCTTCTTCACGCGGCCGTGCATCTGACTGGTTACTATGTGCCTCTTTGCCTCCGAGCTGTTGCACAGCTCACCTGAAAGGTCAACAAGCCAAGCTTTGTGCTAGGCTTCGCCTATTCTTTCTGCAATGTGCTTGTGTGTTGTTCTCTGCTGGTCTCTGCACCGCTCTTTCTCATGTACCCTTGCTCTGGAGCTTGGGCAATATCGGCTTCAGGAGACCAGACCGAAACACTACTGTAGCAAGGAACGCATCTTGGCATGGATCCCACGAACCTGACATGCTGCACTCCGATGCGCGGCACAGACCGGAGTTTCAGAATCTCGGGGCGCCTTAGGATCCATTTGAGAAGGATTCCATTTGTCAGGGTCCTGGAATTTTAGAAACCCCTACGAGCCAAGGCTCGGGAAGTCTCCGCACTTCCGAGGCCACGCGCACAGGGACACCAGCGACCGAGCGTCCGACCTCTTCGGAAAGGTTGTGGAGAAATGTGGGGCTGGCTTATAGTACTGGGTGTGACCAAACGGATCCTCTCAGATGAACATGGGTAACTCAGGGTCATCGTTGCCTGGGAACGCTCCGCTTCGCGGGTTAGAGGGCGTTGGGTGCTCTTTGCCTTGGTGTTTTTGGCATCCTTATTGCATAAGTTACCATTTGAGGGAACCATCAAGAACCAGGACTTGGCGAGGTTTATACCCAAAAGCAAACTGCATGAGGGAAACTTCTAAATTGGACATTGGAAGGCACCCCGACCTAGGCTCGAAGCTTCGTTAAGAGCTCGCTTCTTCGTGATGGACGCATGCCCCAGACCCTTGCTCGCATCTTCTCATGCCCAAACCGACACTGTGCCGCCGGCCTGTTGATCACCTGGGCCAGCCAACGATCAAGGATGCAAAGTGGACAGCACCGAAACTGCAGCCACGCCGCGCATCAAAGGATGTGGCAGCAGCGAAGGCATGCGCTCAAAACACCACTTCGGTTGGGCGCCACTGGGCAGCCTCAGCCAGATCGGCCAAAATTCACCAGGTGGGATTGACGGCTGGCCCCTCCTCCAAAACAAGGCCGTCCAAAAGAACGTCTCCGGATCACTGACCCAAAATATGCGACACTGTTGCAGGTCAGGCCACCCACGCGACGCAACATTGAAGAGGCGTGCCGAGGGTGGCTGCACCTGCCTGGCTCCATGCACAGGCGACAGAGTGGGAAGCTGGCAAGCCGTCATTGTGCGAGCACTGGGCTCACTGTTCCAGGAAAAGCACAAGTCGCTGAGAATTCACACTCGCGTCGTGTATGGCACTCTTGCAGAGGCGCATGTAGGCGGTGCAGCCATCGCCACTGCTGCCAGGGAAGCTTTCCTCCTCGAAAAAGTAATGGTCATGCGACGAGAAGAGGGTGAAAAACAAAAAGCTGCCAAGGACACCACACCTTCCTACTGTAGGAGACCTGACCAATCGCTCGACATGCTCAAATCAGCGTCCTGTCGTCGTCTCGGTACACCACGGCCTCCATGAACGAAGCTGTGGTGGACCTGTGCCCATCGAGTTCAGATGCGGCAAACCAGCACGGGAGCCCGGTCTCGGAGTTACACGAAGCAACGATGCAACGCAACAGTGCGCGACCTGCGGAGGAGAGGGTGCATTCCTCAGCTGCTAAAAGCAAAGTCGGTAAGTAAGCGTGGCTGTGCTTGGGAGGACCAAGGAAGACGACCCAGGAAGACATCACAGTCCTGCTTTGCAGCGTAGCCTGAGGAAAAAAGCTGGCTCTTGGAGGCAGGACATAATCCTTACCAGCCTTACCTGACTCTGAAAACCAAGTTTCACCACCGGCTTGGGCGGCGCAGGCGCTGCTGGTTCGGGGCCGCGGGCACGTTGGTTGACCCACCTTGCAAAACGTCTCGCTGGTGATTAGCTTTTTGAGCTGACAGAAGATCTGTAGTGAAGTGCTTGACTCTGCAGTCACTTCACTACCGATTTCTTGCTCAGCCAATCGATTGCAAGATTGGCTCTTCATTCCTAGCTGCGAACCACTGAAGCATGCACAACCCAAACCTGTTAAACAAGCCAGAGTTAGCTGCAGGCTGAGCAACGCAAGGTGGGCCGTTTGCCCATGGTGTCCTGAGTTACACACACGAACATACACACACACACACAGAAATAGAATTGGCAAATGCACCGACAAGAGTTGCAGTATGCAGATGATCACTGGAAACCGGACGAGCTCAGTGCTATCCTGTGCTCAATTTCAGTTGGACCCTGATCTGTTAGCCCAATCTCCTTATGAGACCGGAATGCGTGTCGCAATGAGACAGGTGGATCTCTGGCTCTCCCTCTCTGTTTCTCTCTCTTGCATGCAAGCAGCTGATGAAGTTCCGGACCTCGCCAGGGGAGAAACATGCAGGCTGATGACGAATGCTGGGGAACAACCGCTGATGCCATAACAAAGTTGCAGAGCTACTTTTCCTGCCGCCCCAGCCACCACCCCACTCCCACATTGCACAGGAATGAGCAAAAATCGACTCAACTTGCCACGAGAAATCGTTCACCCAGCACGAACTTTTGTGTTGGTCGCTGAAGGACTACTGAGCGATCTAGGCTAGCGGCTAACCTTTCTATTGCTCAAATTTGAGCATGGGGCCTCTGCAGCATCGCTATGGATCTGCCGAAGTGACTCGCCCTTGGATGCACGCGGCACACTTTTGCTGGCACTGCTGGCCCTAGCAACATACGGCAGGCTCGCTCGGCAGGCCTGTTGGACTGTAGGGGAAAGACTCGGACACAATTGTTCCCAGTTTGAAGCTTGAAGTGCATCTTGTTTAGCAAAGTAACCTGATTCCAGGATCCAATCTCTGCATTTGTAGATGTCCATGCCATGGCATCACCAGGAGCTGCTACACAGACTCCCGAGCCAATACGATGTGTTTATATGCTTTCCGCCGGCAGCCATCTCACCCATCAGAGCAATCCTTCTAGTGCCGTGCTTGCATGTCAAGGCCCGTGTGCGCTACGGTCCGATGTGCTTGACTTCAACTAACCGAGCCCGCCCTTCGTAGGTTCGAGGCGCCCTGTCAATCTGGTGCTCATGCATCTGCTGACAGCCAAGACTCTGGCAGCATGCGCACATGTGCATAAACCCCGGAGCACATGATGGACTGCGCTGTGTAAAACCCGAGCAACGAAACAACGTTTTGGCAGCAAAGAAAGCCTGGGTTCGAGTCACTTTGTCAAAGTTCAGATCAAGCTGACGAATTGTGACGAAAACCGACAGTTAACGGCGAAGAAGAAGCCGGATGCGAAACTGAAAATAAGTGATCCGAGCCATGAGGTAAACAGGTGGTGTGGCTGCGCCGCATCCTTTGATGCAAGTCGAATCAGCATAACTAGCATGCCCGATCGCATTAAAACGTCGAACTACTCGCACACCACCTAGCGAAGGGCAGCCATTCTACAGGAACACGCGCAGCCAAGTCTGAGCTACCCACCCCATAGCCATCCACAGTATGCTCGATGCTCGATCTGCTTACCAACTTTCTTGATTGATTTACTGAATCTACTGGCTACATTGCACTTGATTGCCCATCTCGCAGGCAGCCCGTAGTGCCGAAATGAAGCAGCAGCTCTGAGCCGAAAGGTACGCATCCGTGCATGCATGAGTTTGGACTGTTGCAACAGATGCATGCCCTGGAAATACAGCCGTGGTAAGAGCTTGTACCCCGAAAGCTGTCGCAAGCCCGTCTTATGTTGCGGTTTGCGTGGCACCTGCCCCAGTTGATGCTCTGATCCATCTACTTGAATCTTCAACGATCAATGCGGCAAGCGTTTGTTGTCTTTTTCGCCATGTCATCTGAAGTAGAACTCCCAGCTGCAGTCGTTTGGCCTTGGAGAGACGGCCACACTGGGATCATTTGGGGTCTGGCTTTACGGTTCCGCTCTCTCTCTCTCTCTCTCTCTTTCTCTCTCTCTTTCTTTCACCAGGGC